GCACTATCCGTAAATGGAATGCTCTGCCCGCTCACGTGTTCCCTCCCTCTTACAACCTGGGATCCTTTAAAAGAGGCGTGAAGAAGCAGCATGCAGGCCGGCAGGGTGAGGATGGCTGGTGTGGCAGGTAGAACTGCTGTATCAGCTATCTTCGCGTCTGGACTTCACCTTCACTTAACATCAGGTGGGGTGGAGTCATTTGTCGGACCTAACTATAAAAAAAAAAAAAAAAAAAAAAAAAAAAGTACCCTTAGCACGAACCAATATCGAATTCGTAACGTTGCGAGTCCGAAATGTCATTGTCAAATGTGTACTGATTTTTAGTTCTTGTTACGTACTTTGTGGCGCTGCTGTTCAAGTTTCCATACAAAATTTGACATTGACATTTTGCACTCGCAAACTATTCCAATTCGATAATTGTTCGTGCTAGGGGTACAGATCGCTGCCTGTCGGTCGGTCGGCTCCTAGCGCACCGTGTTGCCTTCACATCCTGCAGTGTACATTGAGGCGGATAAATCGTGACAGTTGATGTGTGGAACGCACATGGCACGGGCTTGTAGATGGAACATATTATTACTGAAATAAATAAATATATTTATTGTGTAAGAACAAAAATTTTAAACTCCTATCTCAAATAATTTATTGCTTTCTTATCTGCCGAAGTTTATTCAAACCAAAATATTGGCAATTTATTTATTTTTTTTCATTTTTTTTCACATTCACACCAATTACTTTTACAAATTGGATGCTTTGCAAAATATAGATAAATAAACTTTCCATTTGTCAAATTTTATATTATAGTAATTATAAAAAAACGGGGAAAAATGCTAAATTATAGTAAAGAGTGCTGAAAATTCTGGCAACTCCTCCTATAAGCGGTGCAACATCAGAGAGCAAACATTTGGGGTACAAATCATGAGTTTGATGACCACCAAAATTTCAGGCTGCGACCGCGTCTGCCGATGCCTATGATGATGCACGCGAAGATTGCATCGGCTATCGTTAGTTTAGGACATAAATCAATTCGCACCAGGGATTATTACACTACCCTTACCTCTCAGCTAAGCAATGTACATTGTACAATTCTAACTGCCAACAAGAGCAATGTTCACTGTGTAAGTTTTGTCATGTACTTGGCAACTGTTATATATACGAGTACCTACATACGCTTCCTACATAAAGACCATTCTAGAAAAGATTCGGAAAATTCCCTAAGGAAGGCTGCACGGAGTGAATTCCAGTGTCGTAGTCTGTTACAAAGGCATTGTTGGGGCGTCAGGTGACCGGCAGGTGGGGCCGCTGGAATCTGATTTATTTCTCAGGAATACACGCTTCGTATACCCGTCACGAAGCAAAATTACTAAATTTGAGTTACATAGTAAATAAAGTGTGTTTACTATAAATACGTTGGACATACTAAAAATTTCCAGAACAACTAAGAAATAAGCCATGTCTGGTCAAAAATGTATTTACTGTTTCCAAACATAGCATTTTTTTAAAGATGTTTCTTATGATTTTTGTTTTGTTACCTGTCTATATGTTCATCCCCTCGTTGTCGTCGTCAATGGTAAACATGGCATTGCATACGGGACCAAGTGACGCGGTGTTCAATGATCGGTAACCAGACATTATTCTATACACTATAGTTTTGGCGGTAACACAGTTTTTTCACGCAAAAATGATTTCGTTGGATTTATTGTATCTAACTAGTGCCTATCTCAGATGAATGGTGCCTTCATCTAAATAAGGATTTCCGAATGTCAATTGGTCAGTGATCGATTGTTTTAGATATTTACTGCATTAGATGGATGTCATATCACGATATTCGTTAAAGAGATTGATTTGACCACATTTAAAAATTGCCACAGACATTTGGAGATCGAGATACTCTGCTGAGGTTTCAATTTATACCTACTTATAATTTAAGTGAATTCATATTATAGTTAGATTTGCTCTCTCTCTATTATCTTTCTAAAGTCTGACTCTTATGTGACCTGTTTTATTCTAAAGTATGCTACTTTTCTGAATTCATAAGATGGCTACATTGTTAAACACCCACACATGAACAATCGTAATTGCTCTAAGTTTTATTTGCGTCCAATTTAAGTTTGAATGTAAATCGAGTGAACTAATTGGGATTAAAGTAAAATTTAATCAAATCATCATTCACATTAATTTTTTAAGTGAAAAGTTTAAGCTAAAAATGCTTGAATGGACTTTCCTAAAAAGATTTAAGAAAAGACGGGGAAAATTAGGGAATATGCATACATTCAAATAAGCTCCTTTTCACTTTTGTATAAACTCTATTATTTTTAGGTGGTCCCTACATCAATATCTGTTAATAAAATTTCTTTTCGAGTAAGAAATTATTGATATAAAGTTAATTATAGCGGGTAATTCAAATATTTTGAAACGCGACAAGAGCGGCTGTAACGTAAAAATATAGCAAACGTAATGTTAACAGTATATGCCAAAATAGCGCGCGTTTAAACTGCCCATGTAAAGTGGCAATTTTTTAGACATATTTTTTTCGAAATATATTTTGTTATACTGTAAAAACTACCAGATAAAAATATAAAAAAGTCATGTATATTCCCTATTAGGGCGTCCGTCTTCGGATTAAGTATTCCCTTAAGAGCCCTTTTACAAAATTGCGCCGCTGCCGTACTGATCGGCGCGTAGGTAGATTTGTCCTAGTATATATTGCATTTTACGGATGATGTTTTGAGTCTTATAAAATAATTATTAATGAACTTATTATAAAAATGTATACATATTTCAGTAGTTCAATGATGGGAGATTAGTTTTATGAAAATTTTTGATAGTCTTATTTTGTTCAATATCAAAATACGAGGTAAACCTGCATTATTTTTTGGGACAACTCACGGCGGTTAGATGTTTTTTTTGTTAATTAATGAGATGGAAAATCAAAATTCTAATACATTATGTTACAACAAAAACATATTTCTGATATCGTAGTAATTAATTTGATCTAATTTATTGAATATTATTGAGAGATTCAGGCGTTTGAAGTCGTGCATATTATGGTTTTTTCCGTAAACTAGCTGCCGTAGAACGATCAGTCCAAAAAAAAAGAAAATAGTATTTGCAAATATTCTACATTAACTTACAATAAGAAGAATATCTACTGTTAACTTTTTTTGGTTTTTGGAATTGGAAATAGTCAAAATCTTTTCTAAGGGGGTAAACTAGGCGCTCAAAAATACGATTTTTTGCAAAAAACGTGAAAGGGCTCTTAATTGTTTGGTGGTTTTGCGTTTCTGTCGAATAGTAAGTTTTCTAGGGCTCCACGGGGCAGGTACTAGATTGGTATCAGTTAGCACAGGCAGGCTAGGATGGCCGAAGTCGCACATTTATCAGCTACAGCACAATTTAGCTATTTTCATAACATAATTCAGAGTCAACATCAGGTATGGTAGGGAAATATGCTATGCTTTATATAAAAAATAAAACTTGTATAATATATGGCATAATTAAAAATGTTGTTTAAACTGATTTTCAATTGTTTCTTTATCTTGATCTTAAGATAAATTTTCACTTAATAAAAAAGTTTACCTTTTGTGCCATCAACGCCTTGCTCCAAAATACCTAACTGGTTAATCCAACAACACGCGCTATTGCCTGTCATACTTAATCAGATGCGACTATTTCATTTACCACATCGACTATCGTCTATACTCAAATTCGGATTTAGGTTGGTAGAAAAACTGTATTTGTAGCAGTGCTATCCTGTAAGAACAGACTCCCTTTTCAACGCGGGATCTGCGTTGTAATTTGAAATTAGAATACGAATTTCAAATTTTCAAATATGAATGGCGTATTCTGCGGTGAAGAGTTAGTTTCACAGATATATATATGTAGCAAGCTGTTAGTTTGTTCTTTTTCTTTTTTATGGCATGCACGGTTTGTGCGTTCAGCCAATGTCAAGTGAAAATTAGTTTCTTCTTACAGAATAGTAACTACCTTAGGGTATTTTTTATAGGTTTTTTAATGTAGGAAAGGTGCTCAAATTAGGGTAAGGTTTGACGGCCTCCGTGCTGTACACCTCACCTACTCACAGATTCCACAGTAGGGTAAATCTTTGTGATGAAAAAGTTTTTGTACCTAAGTTATGTATGTTTATAAATGTACATTTGTGCCGACCCCAAAATGTCGATATCACCGGTGTCGTTAACAAACCTCCATAGTGTCCCTTAAATAACTGACGACCGCACGTAGACACGATTTATTACCGTGCTACGATTTAAGACCCGGGTAGAAATCGTCTCGTTAACAAGCGCCCTTACAGTGCTTACTTTGAGGTTTTGGTAATTGGTGTGAGTGATAGAAATATTTATTACTAGTTGTGCACCGCGGTGTAACCCGCGGTTTATTAGGGATATTTTTCCGTAGCAAAACGTAGCCTACGTGTTAATCCAGGGTGTCATCTAACTCTATACCAAATTTTATTAAAAATCGCTCTAGCTGTTTAGACGTGAAGAACTAACAAACATACACACTCGCATACTTTCGCCTTTATAATATTAGTGTGATTAAAATGAGAATAGGAGTTCCAAGAGAGCAATGTTTGTTATTTTTCTACCGAATAGAATCTGTACCCCTAGCACGAACCACCACGAAATTTTGTATGGAAACTTGAACAGCAGCGGCACAAAGTACGTAACGAGAACTAAAAATCCGTACACATTTGACAATGACATTTCGGACTCACAAACGATACGAATTCGATATTGGTTCGTGCTAGGGGTACTGCAATGAGGAAATCTATAGGAGAAGTAAAGATATTGACACCGCTCGAATAAAAATACTTACTTTTGCTTAGTTTGGGATAGGTAAGGGTGTTTTAGCTTTCCTTAAAAATCTGTTGTGAACTTGAGCGTCGTTTATAATTATGTATGAATGTATCATCCAAAATTGTTAAATATACTTTAATTAAGTACATAGGAATTAGGATTTCCAGGTAAATGATAAAATAAATAATTTACTATTCATTTAAAACGCATTTATTGAACCGAACTAAAATTAAGTACTAAATAATTTAACAGTAATAATAATATATTAAGTTTTTTATTCAGGTTGACTGTACACAAAATAATCAATGATAACCAATCAAATTTAAACATATTTCTCTTAACAAAATAATATTGTTGCAACTCCCGAAAAATAACAAACCATTGAACAACAAGAAAATATATAATTATGGTAAACATTTTATAACCAATATATGCAATTAAATACCTACTTATTATTGTTTCGACTTCAGAAAAGTCATTAAAAAGAAACTTTTGTGTGGATTTATTTCTCGGGAGATTCTAATAATAGATTATTATAGTAATATAAGTTATTTACGAGATTGTTACCATGTACCTTGTTTTTAGCGAGGTTCCGATATTTCGGCACTGTTGCAAGCCCATTATTACGGAGTAACAGTCAGTTACATATTTAAATATATATAATGTATATGCAAATAACAGTGCCGAAATATCGGAAACTCGCTAAAACAAGGTACACGGTAACAAACCCGTAAATAACTTATATTACTATAATGTTAGCGACCATGAAAGTTTAAAACAATAGATTATTATTCTTTGTAGTCCAGTTTCTTTTATTGGTTTATTATCTTTTGACTTACTTAAGTGGTTCACTTAATAACTTTATAATGACATTTTAAGTAATCAGATTGAGACAAAATTAATGTAGTTAATGAGATGTCTCAAATATAATATTCGTTTTTTTTAAGATTTGTAACTTTATAAATACAGAGTTCTCATTACAAAATTCACGTTAAAATACATTAAAATTATTGAAGTAAAGAGTTAATATTTTATATATATGTATATATAAGTTTCTTTTTTGCAATATTGTTCTAATATAAGTTATTTATTACTTATGCCTGGAACTACGTAAATAAACTTGATATATTATAAACAACACTTATTTTGGCATTCGTCATAAAAACATACAATGAAAGTAAAATTATTTTCATTAAAACAATCTAATAGGTACCACGAACACTTAAAATAACCACTTTATAAAATCTACTTTTCGATTTATTTACTAACGTAAGAGATCAAAAATCAATTCAGGTAACTAAATATGTATTTCCTAAAGAATTATGGTAATTTTTTATCATATGTGTTTGTTATAGTGAATTAGTATACCAATATAGAAAAATACAATAATTGCTTCTATCCATTAAAACCGATTCATATTTGATACGAGCAAAATGGAACTAAAACATTAAATGTTACGTATTTTACAATTTTATGTGATAACACTACATGCTGATAATTCCTTTAGTTTAATTGACCAGATTATTATTTTTAGTCAATAAAAAACTGCCATTAATTAATTTGCCGATTAAAACCATAACTTCATATATTTTACCTATACCCGCTCTCTTCAGTTAAGTCTTATCTAAAGCGATAATGTAGATCAATCGAGAGGTCTTTTTGCTTTGAATTCTTGTAGCGCTGAAAATCATCAACATATTTAGTTTGTTTTATATACTTGTTGAGAGATTCTGTTTAGATATCAAGCTGAAACGTATAAAAGTTGCTACGCAACTCTTCGACAATATCTTTCAAACAAAGTACCAATATCTTGATTCAGAAAATCAGTATTCAGTGTTATTAATCTATAGGGATGATTAATATCTAACTTTTTCCATTAATTTACAAAGGAAACTTATAGCACTAGTATCACCAACCGTTTCCAATTACCACCACCTTCCAACATTACCTACATATTTTATAAAAATAATCGCCAATTGCTGATACGACATAAACACCTACCATAATTTATTTGTATGTGTGTCTGTTCTTGATTAAAGATAGATCATCATCATCATCATCAGCCTATTAATGTCCCCACTGCTGGGGCACAGGCCTTCCCTATGGATGGAATAGGGAGATTGGGCCATGACCCACCACGCGAGCCCAGTGCGGATTGGTGGGTGCTAACGACTGCAAAATGCAGCCGGGACCAACGGCTTAACGTGCCTTCCGAAGCACGGAGGAGCTCGAGATAGTAAATTTTTGGTCACCCATCCAATGACCGACCACTGCGAAAGTTGCTTAACTTCAACGATCGCAGCCGAACGCGCTAGCCACCTGCGCCATCGAGCTCCTCCTAAAGATAGATAAATTGATTGAATTGAAGCTATATTGGAACTGAAAAAGATAAGTATTTTAAGGTGTTTCATTATAAAATTTCCATTAACATATTTCAATAAGTTGTACTCATTTTTATTAAGATTAATAAAAGGTAGACATATGTTTGCTTTAATTTTTGCGAGCGGACTTAAGTTATAATATATTTTGTGCTAAGTATACATATATTCTTTACATTCATTCCATCACATAATTCGCTTGATATGCTCCATAAAAAATAAGCTTTTCTCTGCTATCACAGCCCACATTTCAATAAGTCATACACCATTATACAACAGGATTAGACTATAAAATATATTAAAATAATGCGCAACGCATTTCTTTCACAATTAACTAAGTACCTGATTTATAGATTATTTACTCTTTATAAATATTATGAACGGATAAAACTTTTTAAATTATTAACATTTTGAGCTTTCTCACTACCGTTATAATTATAACAAATGTTTTTAATTTTTATACCTACATTAATTAAGCTTAGGCTCACTTATTCAGCAAGCTTTTTGACTTCAATCTACTAGTGTCTATTTTTGGCAATCAGAAATGAGCGATTCAAAACGTGTTTGATGTCACGAAAATGATAGTGAACGTAACTTGTGCTATTCAAATATTCAGTCTCTTCAGCATCACATGTATTGATTGAGAGGACCATCCCACAGTTTACACTGTTCTCCGTGAAATTGAATCGCGTTTCTTTTTCAAATTCCATAAAACGCGTGGGTTTTGTTTCTATTTATTAATTTCATTAGATACGGGAAATCTTGAGCTAGTGGAACCATAACAGAGCGCACTTCCGAAGAACAGTGTTCCGGTAAGCTGCGGTACTTTCAATTGAGAGTACACTAATAGATTGGTTGAAGCACGACGTCGCAGAGGATGCGGGCGGGCGTCGCATGCGGCCCACACACCTACTCTCCTACCGACATCACGACAGTTGGCACATGAAGTGGTAGAACTGGTCAAAGTTCACCGGTTCCAATTCCATATCTTTCTCTGGCTTGTGTAGCAGCTCTGGGTTCCTCTTCAGAAAGTTTCTGACCCAGTCCTCACCGGCCATTCTGCTATTGACGTCGAAGGGGTGGTTTACGTGGTTATCTTCGGCGTACTGGAAAGCCAGCTCTCTTATATCTCTTCTGGAGACGCCCATGAAGTACTGTTCCATACTTTTGATGTAGCCGACCAAGTCTTTCTCTTGGCTTTCAGTGAAGACTCTTTTGTAGTGACCCATGAGGGGTTTCGTGTCATCGGGATGTAGGTAGCGGATTTTGCTGGCACGCCTTTGCAGTGTGGATCGCGGTATGTGAAAAGTTCTAGCGGCCAGCTTGTATCCCATCTTACCTGAGACGACAGCGGCTACGGCTTTCGCCATGTCCTCTTCATTCCAGGCTTGTCGCCCGCTCATCCTTTCGTATTTTCTAACCATTGCTTTCTGAAAACAAATGAAAACTGGTTTTATTTATTGTATGCTTGAGTGGCTGTGACGTGTAGTAAGTAGTAGGTATTACTCGTATCACCCACACACGTGTCTGTCGTAACTAGCGGTATTTATGGGGAATTATTCTTTTTAGTTGAAAAGCGTAATGTTATATTTCAAATCATAAATGAAACAATCGCAAAACAAACTGTACGTTTCATTTAGTTTACCATTACTGAACGGAATACACGTCGCAGTGTGCATTTGAATATCGTAAACAGAGTCAAGTTGAATCGTTCGAAGGGTAACCGCAATCCACCGGTTCTGTGGACCATGTTCAATGCCGGCTCGAGGTGAAAAAAAAACATATCTCGAGACGTGCAGAGGTTACCCCGAACACTGCGGCAACGCAATCATAAATATTAAACGAGCACATACAAACTACAACCTACAGATTTGTGGCGCCTACCTACTCACTTCTCATTCAACCTTCTTTACGACTTTTACAATAGGGATAATGAACGGAAAAAAGTAAACGAAATTCTACTTAGTCTGTCAGTTAGATTTATCAAAAAATAATGGACACTTATTTTTCCTTTTTTCAATCAACCCAAAAATCACAAAGTAAAGCGCGTCAAAGTTCAAGTATAAAAATGTACCAAGGCGTCACGTCATGTGACATTTCAAATCAATATATCTCTGTAATGTTTTGATTGTCTGAACAAATAAAAAGATACGTGTTCAATACTTTTTGATAATCTACCTGATAGGCAAAGAAAAGAAGTTATTAATCGCCCCTATTATTAATGTTATTAATTATACTAAGTAAGTATACAAACCTCAAACAAAATTTGACAGTAGTAATAAGATCCTAACATAATCTTTAGATAACGAGAAAAGAAAAGAGAAAGGAAAAAGAGGGTAATTATCCATAAACAGGCTTAATATTTTCCATTGCCGAACGATGTTTTAGATTTATAAATATATTAAATGAAACAGTATTACATCACTTTGATTTAATCGTTTATAATGGCTTCCACTGCAAAAGGTTGGATTTGCTACCTCTGATGTGAAAGAAGTTCACAAAATAAATAGATCTAAGAATGTTTATAAAAATTAGAAATGTCGGATTTTTAGAGAAGTTCAGTCTAATCTTTCGTACATTCATTGTTGACCACGTAATCATTCCTTAATCAGGTTTTATAATATAAGCTAAGTTATTATCACGTCTTTAAGCTAGACTACTGTAAACTCCTATAATGGGTAAATCCCTGTGTGCAAAGAGTCATTTGCATTATAAGGATATTTTTAAAAATCTTCCGGCACCGATTGGTTCGAAAACAAAAGTGGTCCAGGCTGTCGGGACACTTTCAATTTGATTTCGAGTTCTTTTCGGTTCACATTTTAACTTCGATATTGTCGTCGTGGGTGATTGTGATTTTGATGTTGAATTCGTGCATATGTGCCGAGCTGCGACTGCGACGTATTTAGTAGACCGCAAAGTGCGGTTGATAGCGCATAGCGAGCGATAAAATATGGCATGTTTTTCCGATTTTATATCTCGGGAAACGCTGTGGCCCCAAGCAATGAGTAGCCGGAGTTACTGTTCCATTTTAGGCCTTATACACGTAGCAATAAGTACAAAGTCGGTTGTACTATATGCTTGCTTGTCTTTATATATTTATTAATGTCACTTAATGAGTAAATAATGTTCACATTGCCACATGGTTCTTTTGTCTGAGTATACGGATGTAGTACAAATAGATTACATGACTTCATTCTAGTCCCTTTGCATCAGTAGGTACGTGTGACACAAAGATCTTAATAAAAATAACTCTGGCTATTCTCGGACTTTCGATTTCCTTAATTACAGGGCAATGCAAAGTAGTCTCTGTGCATATGCACGAAGAGACATATTGTCTGCAAGCAGTGCTAGTTAATGATAAGAAGGAACTCCTTCCTTCAGGTGTTATCAACAGCTGGTTGCTGTTTATTGTTTTTAATTTAAACCATGAAAGTATTTTTTAATGAGCGTAAACTTTCCAATTAATCATTATTTAATATAAATCTTACGTACCTAACAAATCAGTTCTCATTTGTGTTGGAATTCCTCGTATTTTTTAGCACTGACCCGTCCTTGAACGACCGCGTCATATTTTTTATCTGTCAAAAAGATTCGTGTCGTCAGCGGTCAGCTGTTTGTGTTCGTTCCACGGAGCGTCTATCAACAAGTCTTCGTATTGAGATATTATTAAAATGTGTCATTATTAACAATTTTGTGCACATCGCACGTTGGCTTAGCGCACGCTATAGTTCCTCTGTGATCGAACAAGCAATGGATGGCAATCAGGGCGAGCGTGTTGCAACTACGAAATGGCTGACTGGCCGCGGATCGGCGCGAGTACGGCGTGAGTCGAGGTTACTCTGACGCGTGACTTGCAAGGTCCCCCGCTGCATTGCACGATGCGCCAAGGTTGCTTTAAAAAAGTTATAGGGCTAACATAGATAGGCACAAAGCGGTTGACGCACTAAGTTATCTTATCGGAGCACCTACTCGATTTGATACGGCAAGTAAGTACCTTCGGCTTAGAAGTCCCGGCGGATCGGGTAGAAGTGAAATCTGCATCACTCTTCCGCACGGAGCATGCGTTGGATTTAGACAATGAGTGTGTAGTAGTAAATGTAACGAGATACTCACGGGAGAGAGTGGTGGGACAGCGCGTGGTGGGTGGGTGGAGGCGGAGTGCCCGTGTGGCTGTGAGCGGCTGGCGGCGAGGTGCAGGCGGAGACGGCGGGCGGCAGCGGCGGGCGTGCGACCAGGCGAACGGCGCGCGCGGCACTGGCGCGGGGCCCGTCTTGCCCCGCCGGCGGCCCTGGCGCGTGACGTCACCTGGCCGGGGCCCGGCGACGTCTATTCTCGTACCCGACTAATTATCTAGATCCTTTGTTACACTGAAAAGGAAATCTGGTTATCTGTGCCCGTATTATGCCCGCCAATAATTCACGTCATCATTCGTTGAGTCCAATCGTCAATTTATATTTACAAACACGGAGCAAATTAGTGACTCATTGTTGAAGTTATGAAATTTCAATAGGTTGATCGAATTTACTCTTTTGAGTCTCTTTGATTGTTCTATCTTAGCGTAGTTGACTTTGTTTAAAATATACATATTATATCTCCCATATAAAATCATAAATTAAATTAATGGCTTAGAAAACACTTTATAGAGTTGCAACTTCCTTTGACTTCGAACGTCATACACAATTAATTGAAAAATCTATTCGATATATCTGTTAGAATTGAGCGTCACACTATCAGATCCAATAATTTCGTAATCACAAAATGTGTCGTTACACACAGCACTGTTGGTACGATAAGGCAACTCACAATAAGGATAAAGGCCAGCGCACATGACGTCACGCGAGGGACCTAACTCAGTCTGACAGATAAACACGTACTTACGCGCAGGGAAAGATAATAATGCATCATAAAATTATTTTGTGAATGTTATTTTGCAATGATTCTGTAGGTATACATAACCCACTTGTAATGTTACTTTATGCATGTAATGTAGAGTCGGCATTTGCAAAAGTTGATACTTTGCAAGCGATAAATGACATAATTACTAAACGAGGTGTCTCATTACGAGTGCAATTAAAACAATGAAAATATTGTAGAACCATTCAATTATTAACTGAACCTGCGGCAATGATCGCGTGGAGAATTTCTGATTTAAAGAGAACATTGCATTAACTTCATGCCATATTCTACGGTTAACTAATTCAGAAAAAACATATATGTATAATACATTAAAAAAATGTCTAAGAAAAAAATTAATTCTGGGTAAATATTGGTAATTTTTCGAATCAGATGAAAAAATCGATAACCCCTACATCAAAACATGTAATCTTTAAAAAAAACTAGCTTTATCGGGTTAATGCACGAAACTTTATTTATTTATTAACTTTATTTAATAAATTCATACATAGACAATAAAATTTTAAAAACCTTCCAATGAAATAACCGAACGCTCAATAAAAGACTTTCGAAGGTAGCTCGACAAAAATAAATAAAAAATCAGTATTCTGACGATGCAGACCTGAAAAGGCTGCGAAACGTCAATAAATAAATAAAGTTTCGTGCATTAACCCGTTAAAACTAGTTTTATTTAATGAGTGATGTGCGTGAAAACCTAAGAAACTAATATGTAATCTTAACCTCATCTTTATATTATTCACATAAAAAAATATTTTTTGGTAGAGTAAGGGCATAGCGCCCAACTGGAGAAGTAATCTTTACTATATAGATGCACAATAAAATAACACTACCCTTTGGTGGTGGTGATGTATTTTCTTTCGATTCCAGGGCTCCACGGGATTGGATTTAGATGGGTAAGGTGGGGATGCCTGGAAAGCAGTGCTGCTAGATGAGGATATTAAAAACGCGGTAAGATTTGTACAAGAAAAGCGGTATTTCAAGGTTCGCTTACGATTTACGCACCCGAAAGATTAAAAATTCTTATTGAATAAATAATATATTCGAAGACCTCCGTGGCCGAGTGGTTTGTACGCCGGGTTTCATAGTGTCGCCGACTCGAGAGGTCCTGGGTACGAATCCCGGTGGGGGCAGATGTTTGTGTGATGAATACGAGCATTTGTATTCCAGTCATGGATGTTTAATATGTATTTCTATATAAATATACTTATATTTGTACAGTACATGTATTCTATTCGTTACCCTAGTATCCCATAAAACAAGCCTTACAGTACTTTCTTGGGGCTAGGCTAATAGGGGTGATGACGGGGTACAGTAACCGAAATTCTATTTAGTCCGTCAGTTAGATGATCAAAAAATAATGGACACGTATTTTTTCTTTGGGCAATCAACCAAAAAATGACAAAGTTATAGCGCGTCAAAGTTTGGGAGTAGGGGCTCGTGACGTCACTTTTTAGTGAATATTCGCTTAAAAGTGTACTCAAACGTGACGTCATGCGACTTTTCAAATCAGTATATCTGCAATGTTTATATTATGTGAAAAAAGAAAAAATACGTGTCCAATACTTTTTGATAATCTACCTGATAAACGAAGAAAAAAAAATAGTCATCATCCCTATTGGTGTGAGTGTTGGAAATATTTAATATTTATTTATTTATTCATGTTTAAAAAATACATGAAACAACCACCGTGAGTGAAGAAAATAGAGGTTATTCTTGTGGATTAAAAAAAAAACAAAAACGCGCAGTTTAAAAGCGGCACGCAGATCCATTATCAAAAAGGCGGTGGAATAAGCGAAAAAGCGATACGATCTGGCAACACTGCTGGAGCGGCAATCCTGTTCTGCTTCATCAACTGAGTTCACAAGTAGACATCAGCCACATATACTTACCATTATGTGGGGTGAGGTAATTCACTGAGCTACGTAAAAAAATCGTTGGTTTCTATGCGCTACTTATTATCCTGTTTCCTTGTGCGTCAAACTGATACCAATGACTACTAGGAATCATATTATTGCGCCCCTTTTTTTTTGTGTCTGGGAAATGCCTTACGCATCGTTCAACCACGGGAGGAGCGAGAAGAAGGTATGTGGGACTCCTCCCTTTCCTGTTCAGCCAGACCTGGAGCTCGCTGAAGTGTTTTTGTTTGTTTTTTGTTTACTGTCGGTTGTCTTCCGGCCCACATTCCAGTGTAAATGTTGCTTCGGGTGCCCGAATTCGAGTAATGTCTTTCGTGTACCCAACTACGGGATAAAGACTAAGTGCAATTGCAACATAAAACTAGATCGAGTAAAACAAGTCGAACAATGTAAGCTTCATGTATGGAGAACACAGTAACACGCATTTGGCGAAAATGACAATTATTGTTATCTGCTTCCAATCTATTTCCCTTCAAGAGATGTGACCATAGACTAAATGTCTAGTTATACCTAATGGAAATAAGACTATTTGTATTTATAATGTATAACACAGCAATCAAAATGCAGGTGAACAAGTAATGTATAATTTCTGATTATGTAATGAAAGGTGATTTCATGAATCATCTCTGAAGTAATTTTTCAACTTGACGACTCTGTTAATAATAAAACAAGGAGAAAAAAACAGCCCTTGCTGAGTTTCTTGCCGGTTCTCCTCAGTGCAAGGTCTCCAGCCGTAGATTTACGAACCGATGGCGTAGCGTCTAGACATACATGAGTGCTTGTAACAGCCTAAACTGAATAAATGATTTTGATTATGATTATATTATTAATGGATGTGGCAAACAGACGGTGGAGGAATGTTAAGAGGGTTTTCCTTTATTATACTATATGCTAAGCATTAAACTGCTAGATTAATTTAAAAAGTTCCTTAACTACACCTTTTCCCTTTGTCACCTTTAGGAACGGAAAGTAAAATAACACACGCAAATCTGTAAGCATCAGTTACATGATTTCAAGTTCTTATGTCATCTGTCAATTTGTAGAAACTGCTGTATAAATTAAAACAGGGAGAAAAACAGCCCTTGCTGATTTTTTTGTAGGTTTTTCTTAGTACGTCTCCCATTAGAAACAGAGCTTGTGATTGTGATTATCCTAGACTAAATAAATAATTCTGCAAAATCAAACTAAAAAAAAAACAAACTGAATTGAGTCCTTGTCAAAGGTGCCTGTCTTTTTTAATGCTATCGAAAAAAAATATAGCATCAATTTATTTATTTTTATATACAAAAATGAATCCATATTTTCCTTGGTCACGCTATAACTTGCGAACGATTTTACCGATTTCAGCCAGCTTTTTTATAAGGTTTCTAATACTCTGTACCTAGAAGGTTCTTACGGAAAAAATATAAAACTTAAAATAAAGAGGACGAAATTGCAGGCAGAAGCTAGTCCAATATAATCCCACCAAAAACATTTTCATGTAAAATGTTATCAAGGCGAGACTAGACTCGCACTGTTAAAAAGTTATTATAAGATCTCGTCTAGAGCCAAGCTTCTAACTCTACAAGACCTAACTTATAAAAGGTCTATTTTTTACTAATTCTACACCTGTACCCTTAGTACGAGTTTGAGCTCACGAAAACTATCATAGTTTTCGTAATTGTAAATTATGTTTCTATGTCCATTTTGGTGAAAAGTAACCAAATATGCTCAAAATTTAAGAAGACGCAAATGATTTAATGATAGAATCTAAACACTGTTTATTTGTATTGAAACGAAACCAATAAAATGAGTACCCTTAGTACGAGTGCGAGCTCACGAAAACTATCATAGTTTTCGTAATTGTAAAACTCGTACTAAGGGTACTGAGTCAAAGTGGCTTGACCATTTCGCTACATTCACATGGGCGTAAGGCGAAAATCATAACAGCTGTTGAGTGGATCACTCCACCTTCAAGAACAGTGGTGACTGCATCAGAAGCTTCTGACCAAACTTTTTTTTCTCTTTGCAACAATGCAATACTCGTCGCACAAGAATTTCGTGATGATGTTGGCATGTTGGAATTACAGTGTAGTATTGTACAAATCTTACTTCAAAAGTACGGCATTGACAAGCGGCGGATCTTCCAAAAGCATTTTTGAAACTATTTCTTACTTCAATTCGAACATATAATGCTGAGCATATGATCATTAGATACCAAGCCGACTTTGTTGTGTTACTTTTGCGTCAAAACCTGAGGTCACTTCTTCCCAAAAGTGTCAAGTCCAGTTCCACTGTAATCATTTTATTGCATTAAATTCTTTATTTTAAGTAATTCAATTAACATTATTTATTAATATGATTTCTCATTTTAAAAATAAATAAATAGAACAAATGCCGTTGTTTTACTCACAGTATATGTAGAGGAAGTGCCTGATGATTCGATTTCGAACAATTTAAAAAGGTACTTATCTAATAATGACCTTCATTAAAGTTGTTAATATATCAATTAAGACCTATTAGCATTAAAATATCCAAAATTTACATAAATTCGAAGCTTAAAATGAGCTATTTACCTACTAATTATGGGCAAAGACCAAAGTGTGTGTACTGTTTGTTTTCGAATCAAGGGGCATATACGGGTTATACAGTATTTCTTTTTCAAATATATTTTTTTGTTTCCTGCTTCGGAAACAGAAACATTTTTCTTATTTAGGTACTAGTTTCGAAAAAAGAAGTATATTCCTATTTTGAAATCGGCCAAAAATTGGGAAGCGGCCACCATAGCCTATAAACACTCGCGATACCAAAAGTATCATAGGCGCCGTTGCCTATCCTGACCCAACCCCACACCCAAGATGTGTGTGCGACACAAGCGCAGAAGAGGATGTCTTCCACATCCTCCTCGACTGCCCTTGTACGGTAACACAAAACATATACTACAGACACGCACAGATACTCAAATCAGTAGGGACACTCTATGGAAAGTAATTGAAAACGAGGATAGGATAGGGATACAGAAGGAAACTAGTAGAAAGTGTTATAAAAATAAATAAAGATTAATATGTATAAAAGCAAATTGCACCTCGGAAATAATAAAAAAAAGAAAAGGAATTTATGTACATAGTAATTATAATTTACTATGTACATAATAAGAAAATGTAAATGAGATTTTTTTAAGAATTGTATTGTCATCGAAATTGGAAATAGAAAGAAAGAACTAAGAAAAGATAAATGTAAATGAATTTAGATAAGTAATTAAGATGTAATAGTAGAGATAATGAATGTATGTGAAACAATAGGAGTAAGAAAAGTAGAAAATCTTTAAAAAAGAAAGTAAATGTAAACATAAATCATGCACATAAATATAACTAAGAAATTAAAATGCGAAACAAAATAATGTAATAGAAAAAGGATATTGAATAAAAAAGCGCTAAAGAAAGAGCGCGAAAATAACAGAGGTGAAAAAAAATTGCACCCAAAGAGGGATAAAAGAAAAGACAGACAGAAAAACATATAAAACAGAAAAAGAAAGACCTGTTTTGTAAAAGGTAGCCAGATATATACAACAAATCACTACCCCTTGGAGCCTTACTCACCGACGGAAATACAACACCATAAAAAGGTAGTAGTGTTATTTTACTGTGGTTTTCTATAAGGTTATAAATCTCTGGCGCAGGTTTCTTCTTTCTGCGATCTTCCAACATACGTTGGAGTTATACTTCTTCAAACGAACAGTGTCTCATCGGTTGATAAACGATATTTCAAATAGTATCAGTGTTGCTATACAAATGAATACAAAACTTTAAAATTTGAGAATTAGGAACCTGAAATCCGATATGGTAACTGAAATAGAGTTATTTTTTTTAAGTTTAGATAATTTATTTCATGACACTTCGATTCTTTATTCCCATATTTATGATAAATTCAGAATGGCACTGATCGTATATATAATTCGATTTTTTATTTAAACTGAGATATACAATTCCATGAGGTTCGTGCATAATAATTATACTTATTAATATATTTTTGTTAGTTTATTTTTTAATAAATCAGAAATCAATATATCTTTATTCAAATTGGATGTAAAGTACAACTCTTTTGAATCGTCCAAAATTTATTTTTCCCTACCACTCGTTATGGACATATTTTTTAGCTGCAGAGAAAAACAAACGAAAAAAACTCCACAAATTGTTGTTTATTTTATTGAAAAGTCTAATGTAACAACATTTACAAATCATTATGTTGTTACAACGTCAATACAATTATGATTTATTTCATATAGAGAACCTGCTGGAATGATTGGAACAGTTCAAACCCAAGCATTTTTGCCTGTAATATAATCAGACACTTTGTAATAAGCTCTTTTAACAAGTGCTTTTTTATACTACCTTTAAATTATTGTTAACTCGTGGATATTGCTTGGGACTTTATTGTACAGAGGAACACAAACACCTTTAAATGAACTATTAATTTTGTAAAGCCTGAAGTATTAAGTGTGAACATCACTGTTTTTAAGAAACAAATTATTATTTTTTTTACAAGTAATAAATTTTCGTATGTGTATTGTGATGCAACCATCATTATTCCAAATTCTTTAAACTTATCTCTTAACGATTCTTTAACTTTAAGATTATAAATTGATCGAATAGCTCTCTCTCTTAAAAAATACGAAGTTATATAATTAATCTTATTGTTAGAAAAATGTGTATATAAATTTCTGATATAAGTATCGTTTGAAGATATGATGGAATAACCCACAGTCACTTCGCGATCAAAAAAAAGGATCAACTAGAAATATACAAATATTCACTAACATATCAAGTTACCACAAAATGTTAAATTTGCTTAAACAATTATGTTTCTTTTATACAGCAAGATAAAGCTCAACTTAGCTAAAAAAACCTTTTTGGGTTAGGATTAGGATAGCTTCTTAATCCTGTGACTGTTTGTAACACCACTTCCCACATTGCTTGTCGCTGATTGGCTGAAAGTCTGTAGAGTTAGCGATATGACTGACTTTTCCAATTTTTTAGGTTTTTATTATTGCCAGGTTTTAAAATTATTTATTTAATTTGTTAGTAAACAAAGTAAGTATGTTTTATAATAATGTATATGTTACCGGCGAACCTGATTTTAAGACAAACTAGTTTTTTCCGGCTAAATCAGTTCACCCTTTAGGCGTTATCGTTAGGGTAAACCGGTATAGACTAGGCTAAACCGGTATAGACTAGGCTAAACTGGTACGTCCTATGGCTGATAGGAGAAACTAGTTTAACTTAGCCAA